TTTCCCTGGTCTTTGTCTTTCCTCCAGCCCTGCATCTTTCTATCACTCCCTCAGGACACTTCCCAGGATTTCTTCCCTACCCATCAACAGCTATCTTAAACACAATCCACAATCCCCAGATGGAATGGTAGTGGGCTTAAAAATCGGTTCATATGAACTTTTGAATCATTGTATCCAGTTCCGTGAAGAATCTGGAAACACAAAAAGCCACGAATAGCTAGAACCATCCTGAAAAATAAGAAGTTAGCAGGGGGAATCACAATCCCGGACCTCTGGACATACTATAGAGCAGTGGTTATCAAAACAGCCTGGTACTGGCACAAAGACAGAAAGGAAGATCAATGGAATAGAATAGAAGCACCAAAAGGGAACCCACACAGATACAGCCAATTAATCTTTGACAAAAAGATCAATGACAGTCCAAGCAAGTGGGAAGGCCTCTTTAGTAAATGTTGTTGGGACAACTGGCTGATAGCCTGTAGAAACAAAAAGACAGACCCACATCTATCACCATACACCAAGATCCAATCTACATGGATAAAAGACCTAAACCTACATCCAGAAACCTTCAAACTCTTGCAAGAAAATGTAGGAAATACCCTGCAAGACCTAGGAGTAGGTCCCGACTTTCTAAGAAGGACACCAAAAGCAATAGCAGTTGAGAACAGAATAAACAAATGGGACCTCATCAAACTAAGAAGCTTCTGTACAGCAAGGGAAACAATCAACAAAGTAAAAAAGCAACCCACAGAGTGGGAGAAGATCTTTGCACACGATATAGGCGATAGGGGGCTAATTTCCAGGATATACAAAGAACTTCAAAACAACCAAAAAACCAAAACAAACAAGCCACTCAAGAAATGGGCACGGGAAATGGGCAAACATTTCACAAAGGAACAAGTCCAAATGGCAAACAAACATATGAAAAAAATGTTCCAGCTCCCTGGCAATAAGGGAAATCCAAATTAAAACATCGATGAGGTACCACCTAACACCAGTAAGATTGGCCCACATAAACAAGAACACCAACGACGCTTGCTGGCGAGGGTGCGGGGAAAAGGGAACCCTACTCCACTGCTGGTGGAGCTGCAAATTGGTACAGCCTTTATGGAAATCAGTCTGGAGAACACTCAAACAACTCAAAATCTGCATACCATATGACCCAGCAATAGCACTCCTAGGAATATATCCAAAACACCTGTTTTACAACAAACCAACATGCATCCCTATGTTCATTGCAGCACAATCAGTAATTGCAAAAACATGGAAACAACCAAAATGCCCATCAGCAGAAGATTGGATAAGAAAGCTTTGGTTCATCTACTCCATGGAATACTACTCAGCTATTAAAAAAAACAAAATGCAGTTCTTTGTGGCTAAATGGGCCCAACTGGAAACTATAATGCTAAGGGAAATGAGCGAATCCCAAAAGGTTAGATACCACATGTTTGCCTTGATTTAACCTGTAATTTTTGTATGGTTGTTTGTTATTTTTTGAACCTGTCATTGATACTGTCTCAACCCAGATGTTTCGAAGAATGGAACTTGCATTATTTTTAACATATTGTTTACCCAATACTATGTCAATTAATTCCATAATGTTGTATATTGATACTGAGGTTTTGTTGGGGCTTTTAACTGACCGGATCTTTACTCTGTTAGCCCTACCTTCAGACCAGAGAAGGTCTCCCCAAGAGGCCACTGAACTTAACTGGACAATAAGACGCTGAACTTTATGCTAGGCATGTGTTTGCAAGGAATGAATCTCAACTGAACTTGAACTATGGTTATGCAACAAGGTGGAGGAATCCACCATGGGGGGAGGGGTATGGGAGGGGTGGGGGTAATCCCCAGCGCCTATAAAACTGTACCACATAATACAAGGTAAACAACAATAAAAAAAAATCGGTTCATAAGCATTCACATTTACACTGGAGGCATGGAAGAGAGGTAACATCCTCTTGAGCTAGAATAAGTGATATTTATTTTATTTTAAAAATTAATTTACTGGAGGGTTACTCTCTCTCTCACACACTCACACAGAGCAAGAGAGAGACAGAAAAACAAACTCCCACTCACTGAATCATTCTCCAAATGGCCACAGCAGCTAGGGCTGGACAGAGGCTGAAGCCAGGAGCTGGGAACTCAGCTCATGTCTCCTACACAGGTGGGAGGAACCCAGTTACCCTGGCATCTCTGCTGCCTTACAAGGCTGGAATTAGAAGGAAGCTGGAGACACAGAGTACCAAACCCCTCCAGTATGGGATACAGGATCTGAACTGCTAGACTAAATACCTGCCCAATGGATGAATACTATTCATAATAAAAATGCATAATGGAGACAATGAATGAATACTATACACAATACAAAATGTATAATGGAGACTAGCGTATCAGGAAGTGAAGATACGTGTCTCTATTCCCAAATGAAAGGAGGACTCCCAACGAAACAGTTAATACACCCTGGAGTATGATTCTAGATGTTCTACCTTTGCCTATGCCTACAATGCCATGAGACATTTAAATAGTAGAAAAGTTAAACTGGTAACCATTACTAAAGGACTATACTAGTGTGATAATGAAAAGGGGTTGTGGTGGGAGGGGAAAATATGGAGGGAGGATGTGGAGGAGGAGGAGGGATTCCTAGACCTATAAAACTGTATCATGGAAAATAACAATCATAATAAATAAAACAAAAAAGGAAAATACAGCTACTCCTTAGTTATCTGAGGTGCCAGCACTGTTGGAGTGCTTGTTTGAACTACTTTATCTAATCGCAACGGTAACTCCACAAATGTAACATTACTGTTATTTCTATCTTTAAAAAAAGATTTACTTAAAAAAACACAGTTATAGAGAAAAAGGGAGAGACAGAAAGTGGCCTTGTATCATCAGTTTACTCCCCAGATACTGCAGTGGCCAGGGCTGAGCCAAGCTGAAGCCAGGAGGCAGGAGCTTCTTCTGGGTCTCCATGTGGATACAGGGCCCCAAGCACTTGAAGCATATACCACTGCTTTCCCGGGTGTATCAGTGGAGAGCCACATTGGAAGCAACTGGGACACGAACCAGTGCCCACCTCAGAGGCCAGTACTACAAGCAATGGCTTAACCAGCTAGGCCACAGCATCATCCCCTGTTACTGTCATTTTCAAGTGAAAAAAAATGACATGCACATGGAACTTAAATGCCTTGTCCTACTTACACAGCTAGCAAGCAAGCAATAGAGCCAATATTTCTTTTTCATAATTAATTATGGGAAAGGTTTCTTAAAATACTCTCCTCAGCTGAACAGTGAACTTGATATAAAAATGGGTGGAATTACATGATATGCCTGTAGAAATGCAGGATTTATGAAGCACAGTATCAATAGTCCTAGTAATACAATGAGTAAAACGACAACGACTTGGCTCTGCAGTTCCTTATAATAAGCTAGAGTGTCACAGGCCACAGTTTTGGTTCATGACACACAATCTCTTGGGTGAACAGCATCCCTTCCTGAATGAGTGACAAGACATTAAAGAATGCCTCTAGCACAACATCCTCCCTTCCTACCTGGGAAGTGGATGTGACTCGCTCTACTTGGCGGCCTGGAGCTGAGAGCCACATTCAGAGACAGTGAAGAAGAGAGGTGGGGAGCCTGAAGCTGCCTGCCATCCCAGAACAGCTTCCCCGGCCCCCAACTGCCTATCCAGACATCTCACGCAAGATCAGAAATAAACTCCCATGAATTAGAGTTGGATTTTCCAGTGCCTGCAGTAGAATGCCTTCTTGATAAACAGATCACACACTGTTCAGTGGCAGCCAGGCAGGGGAGCCTCCAATCTCCAAGCTTTCCAATCTTAGCCTGATAGCCATGCCTTTTTTTTTTTTTTTTACTTTTTTCCTTTTTTTTGACATCTTTCTTTCCGCCACGAGTGCATGTGCCAGTCCCTGAGCCTCTGCTTTGAATGGGCAGCTCTACCTCGCAGTGGACAAGCAGAGCCAGTAGCCCGTTTCATTTCTCACCATGTTCTCCAGCTGCACCTGTGTGGTTACCTGGCTCTTGCTATGAGATTGGGTGGGGAGCAAATCCTCCTCGTTACACATCCTCACCTCCCCATCCCTCATGAACCCACTGCCCATCAGGCTTCAGCTTTCCAGCTCGACCTCACGGAAAGCACTCTGGGAGCATGGTCATCTTCACTTTGCCGGACACGAATCTTGCAACAGCCCTCAGAGGAGGAGCCCTTAGCAGGGGGAGACTTTGAGAGTCCACATTGCCACTGCTCTTGCTGAGGTCTATAACCACCTACCTGCTTTTCTCATCCCTGCGGGGGCGAGTTAATTCCCTGACGCGTCTTCCCTGGCTAGCTGCCTTGACTTCAGAGGGTCCTCAGGATAGCGTGCTTGGTTTTCTGCAATAGTCTCCCCGCTCCCTTCAGAGGGCCTCAACTACATTTAGAACTGAATTTTCCTATTGATCAAGACAGGTCGACTTTTTCAGATCAACCCTCCAGCCATAAACAAAATATAATCAGTGTCTATTTGAAGGCTGACCTCCACCTTGGACACCTATCTCCCCCTCAGGAATTCCTTGCCCAAAGGAACAACAAACCTGTAATCCACTTGCTTGATTTGGAAACGTTGTATCATCTTCTATCTTTGTATCAAGAGCTAATGAAAAAACTATAAATGGGCAATAAACGTATGTATGACTTTTTTCTATCTTGCTACCAAAGACAACTAAATTATCATATATAAACACAAAAAAGCTAGTAAATATTTTGAAAACAGTAATACTCTGTGTTGCCCAAGAGTCAAAGAAACAGGCATGCCTTAAAGAGGTAATGGGAACAAAACTTGTGCAACCTTAAAAAAAAAAGATCTGATTTTCAGAAAGATAGCCAAAAGTCATTTTCAAGCACAACAATTCAGCATTCAACCATTTCGGAAGGCGCCATTCCGAAATAGACACAAGCAGAGTTTTCTGGAAACGCAGTAAGATTAAGGGCTTCAACCTACGTTTTTCAGGAGAAACGTGAGACTTGGACTGTCCCCGCACCAGCCTGCAGGTGGCGCCGTCGCCGGCACAGACGCCGCAGTTGTCCTCCTTGGCGTTGCTCCCCAGTTGTCGGTCGCAGCCCACCGTCTGTGGAGAGAGGCCGGGTGGTCAGGTGGGGACAGCACACAGGGCAGGTGCGACTCAGGTACTCACAGCCCAAGCAGGCTGCCGCCCACCCGCACCGGCCACTGTCTTTGATGAGAACCGAGCATTCTAAATCGGAATGAATGAATGAATGAATACAAAGGTCAAAACATTCAAAGAGAACCCACGCTGCTTTTCCATTTACTCGTTTATTCACATATTTTTATGTCTGCAACATAAATGCAGCATTCTGGGGGATGGTTCCCTTCTCTCTCCTCAGCCTTCCTCTCTCTCCAACACCATATCTATCCCACTCTCTCACTTCCGCTCCAAAAAACAACCCCTATCCAATACGTGGTGTAGAGGGAAGTTCAAATTGTTCCTGGGAAAATGAAATGAAAAGGTAAGTTTATGTTGCTGGTTGCTTTAAAAAAAAATTATGCATAGTTTTTCCTAACAAGCATTTTTTTTTTTTCTGTGAGGGATGGAAGACATCGGTCTGGAGTTTTACTTCAAACATTATTTTTGGTTTTCATCTCTAGCCCCCCATGTCTAAAAGTCTGCATTCTGTAACCTCACTTCTCCTTGTCTTGTATTATTGTCACCCATACCTACCTATTGCCGCTCCTGATGCTGGGCATGTTTATCAACAGGTTTTTAAATATAAGCATGTAGAGGAGAGCTATCTGATGTAGATATACTTCTTTTTTTAAAAAAATATTAATTTTTATTGGAAAGGAAGATTAGATTTATGGAGAAAAAGGGAGACAACGATTTCCAGTCCACTGGTTCACTCCTCCAATGGATACAATGGCCTGAGCTGACTCGATCCGAAGCCAGGAGCAGGAGCTTCTTCTAGGTCTCCCACGCGGGCACATGGTCCCAAAGCTTTGGGTCATCCTCGACTGCTTTCCCAGGCCACAAGCAGGGAGCTGGATGGGAAGCAGAGCTGCCCGGATACGAACCGGCACCCACATGGGACTTGCAAAGTGAGGATTTAGTCATTTAGTCACTGTGCTGGGTGCAAAATATGTTTATATTCTATCTTTCAGGCTCTTGAGTGTATGTGTGCGTGTGCGCATGTGTGATTGTGTGTGTGTGTGGTTGTGTGATTGTGTGTATGTGTGTGATTATGCGTGTGTGATTGTGTGTGTGGTTGTATGTATGTGTGCGCATGTGTGTCCATGTGTGATTGTGTGTGCATGTGTCTGTGATTGTGTGTGTATGTGTGTGCATGTGTGATTGTGTGTGTGTGATTGTGGGCTTCCTGCTGAGGACACAGCTGAGTCTATTCCTTTTCCATGTATGTCTTTATATAGTATGTATCCAGCATGATAAATCAGTCTGATGGGCTACCCTCTGTATCCAACATGTCAACTGTATTTATATTTAGAAATTTGGTGCTTAGATAGAAGGATTTGAGGCTGGTAGCACTCACAGAGACCCGGACCCCTCTATGCAACCTCTCATGTTACAGGGCATTCAATAATTCCTACTCTCAGATATCTATTTCCTAAAACATTCAATAGAGAAAGCAGTACAAAAATGCACTTCGCATCAACTCTTGTATGGATTCAACACAAAAGTGTATGGGAAACTCTTAACATAGTGATTAAAACAGGCTCCACAGAAGGTGGCCACTATCATGGTTTCTGTTTCTCATTTTGTTTTGACTCTTGGGTCACCTCTGTGCTTTCATCCTGTGAAGTTCCTAAATCAAACTCTCTATCCAAGGTGTTGAAGAGAAAATAAAACTGGAGGGAGTTGAAACCACATCTATAGATGATTCTTTCCAAAACTTGCTGGTGTTGAAGGGAAGATGAAAGATCAAATAGAAGGCAGAGGGGGAGGGAAGAAAAGCTCCAAGAGAAGTGGAGGGTACCACCTGAGCTTTATGTTCACATGGGCTGCTGGAGGGAAAAGGAGCTACCTCTACTCCAGGGATCTCCAAAGCGGGAAGGCTCCAGGTTAAAACAAAGTTCACGAGGATGTCTGAAAAGTCGATTGTACAACAGAAAACCGTAGAGAGGATTCAGCTCTTGGATGAGTAGCTGAATTTACTGATGTATGAGCATGTTATTCTATAAAGAGTGCGGTTAAATATTTTTTTAAAAAAAGTACTGGTTTGCTTTTTATTGAATGCTCACTATGTCTTTGGTGTTAAGCCATACATGGTGTACACATGATTTCATTTAATTTTTCCATCCATCTTAACATATAGTTGATGACACCTTTTATCTCCATTTTACAAGGAACAATCCTAACGGTGACTGAGACCACATGGCTTGCCAACACGACAAGACTGAGATGCAGTGTCAGGACTAGCCTTAAAACAAAGGTCTTCACATACCAGGGTGTTAACACGGTGTACGCCCTCTTCTACCATTAGTATCAGCAGATGGACAACAAAGAAACTGGCTGTAGAAGCCATCATATGAATATTTACCGGTACATGTGGAATAACTTAAGAGTGATTGATTTTGGAAACCCACTTGCATGGTTGGGATTCAACCAAGGAGTAACTTGCATTCATGCAACTTTCTCCAAGGGAGTAATTCTACCATTAAATTATAGAAACTCTGTTTCTGGGCCAAGCTGTGTGTCACACATCCATGTGCCTCAGTACTTTGCATTTCTTGAGAATAAGAATCTGTCCCTCCTGCTCATCGAGGAAGGGTGTGGGTGGAGGAGTTGGGATGGGTTTGTTTTGAAGATTGTTTAGGGCCTTGTAAGATCTTAGGCAATTGCTTCATAATTTTTCTAAAAAATTACAACTCATCCAAATCTTACAGCCAAACAAAGCATCTGAAAACATCACAGAAAAATGAAATTTGAAATGAAGGGCTTTTTGCCCTGTGATTCGTAGAGTATAAGCCAAAACTGGCCTTGAAATTGAAGGACTACTGAATTTGGGCTTTGGTTTCCCTACAGAACTTTAAAGAAATTTCTTGAGGTGGTTTCAACCTCTATGCCATTTTCTAAAGCCATACTTTGTAATTCTAGTCATTAAGAGCCACTAATTAATAAACAATCAATTAATTTCATCAACATCAATTAAGTAGATATCAGGCACTAGCATATAAATTAATACAAGATTCTTATCCCACAATTTAGTTAATGAAACACATCACATAAAATGGAAGACAACTAATGAATATTAAATATGAGCAGTTTTTTTCTGGAATCAAAATTCATCTATAAATCATCACTTAAAGAATAACAGTTCCTGCACATGATTTCTTTTTTTTTTTTTTTAGATTTATTTTTATTATTTTTCTATTGGAAAGGCGGATATACAGAGAGGAGAGACAGAGAGGAAGATCTTCCGTCCGATGATTCACTCCCCAAGTGAGCGCAACGGGCCGATACTATGCCGATCCGAAGCCAGGAGCCTCTTCCGGGTCTCCCGCGCGGGTGCAGGGTCCCAAAGCTTTGGGCCGTCCTCAACTGCCTTCCCGGGCCACGGGCAGGGAGCTGGATGGGAAGCGGGGCTGCCGGGATTAGAACCGGCGCCCATATGGGATCCCGGGCGTGCAAGGTGAGGACCTTTTTAACCACTTGCGCCACCGCGCCGGGCCCCACATGATTTCTTAATCGGCTAAAAGAAGGTTCTATTCAAATAGCATTAATCCAAATTCAACAAAGCACAAATTTCCTAGGTAAATCCAATGTATTCCTTTCACAACCAATCTTTCGGAATCAACTTCTGTCTGAGATACCTGAAAGCTGGGTTCTGCCTTAGACAAGTTCCCAACATTCCCAACAGAGTGTATGGAGCTGCGGCTGTCTCAGGGAAACTCACAGACAGTCAGTTTCTCCAATCAGCCCGGGGTAGGACTGCACTGCCTCGCTTCCTAGAGTCTAGGTGGGGTCACTGACTGTCTCTGACCAGTGAACTGGTCCCATGATCTGGGTGACTTCGGCAAAAAGCCTTAAGGAGAAGCACAAAAAGGCACACAGTCCCATCCTTACTCCAGCAGCAATCATGGTCCAAGGCCTGAGATTCGGAGACAAGGAGCAGAAACCTCTGCTCTTCTATGCTGGGCAAGCAGCATCCAGGAGAAGCCACTGAGCTGTGGAGATTGAAGGAAACCCTTGGCTTACATTACCGAGATCCATGAACTATAGCTAAGTCATCATCGTGGACAGCATGATAATCCTTGAAGAGCTTCACACTGAAATCCAGATTCCTGGCTTGTTGTGACAAAAACCAAAACAAACAAAAGCAAAATGCAACCCTTGCCATGTTTCTATCTGGTTACCCCTTCCCAATGAGTATGCATTCTCCAGATGACCACAGCCCTCCCCAAGGCTATGTGCAGACACTCGTGTCTGATCCCTCCACTCAGCCATTTAAGCTTGATTCACATGCTGTACTCACTGCCCCTTGCCAGAACCAGGCCCTATTTCCATCTTCATCCTTCAGCAATGCCCATGGACATGCAGCAAATATCAGCTCGGTGCATTGGTTAAGAAAATGGATTTGAGGCCCAGATTGGCTGGGATTCAATGGCAGTCTACTGTTTTCTTGCCATATGTAATTGACTGGAAGTTTGTGTTTCCCCTCAGAATTCTGCAATGTGATGGGGATAGGGGAGGGGTCACCTGTGGGTGATGATTAGGTCATGAGGGGGTGAGCTCTCTGAATAGGATTCATGCCCTCAAAGCAGAGACTCTGCATATCACCCTTGTTCCTTCTCCCACATGAGGAACCACGAAGCAGACTCTCCTCAGGCACCAGATCTGCCAGGACTTCAGTTTTGAGAACTGAAAAGCGGTACTGTCCTATTGTTCATCAGCTGCTTGTGACAGCACAGCCTGAACAGGCTGACACTACACAACCTGGGTAAGTTACTTAGCCTCTTCAATGTCCAGTTACCTCATACACAGTGTGAGGATGGTTATTGTGTTTCACTCACTGAGTTATGATGATCTGACACAGAAAAGACTTAGTGCCTGGTCCCTGGGATGCACCCAGGGTTAGAGGCTGTTATCTTGTGGCAAATCCTAACTGCTTTCTGGATCTGTGCACCTGTCAGGGAAGTGGACAAATTTAAGTGATCAGTCACTCATTCTGTATTCCTAGTTCCAACCAGGTCCTGCTTCCAAAAACATGGGTCATTCTGTGAGCACAGGAGTCGCATTGTCTACTAGGTCTACATTAATGGCAAGTTGTCCCCAAGCGCACTGTGACACATGCATTTAAATGAGCAAGCTGGAGAAACAGTCGAGAAAATTATCTGTAGTGTTGCCAAGGACTCATCAGGATTCAATTCAGTGAGCCTGAGGCCAGCAGAGAACATAACATAGTTTATTTTCTCTCACCCTGATGACTACTGAGGTTCAAGGCCGCATTGCACAAGAAGGTTATGTCTGTGCACAATATCTTATTAAAGCAAAGTTACCAAATTTATCTTAGCCAGTGCTTGCAATTCTTTTTTAATGACAACAGCCTGGCTGAAGGAGCACTTCGTTTTTAGCAGCCACTGACTCACCTGTTACAAATCACCAACACATGACACAATGCACTCATTGCAAATGAACTAACTCAGCACTGAGCACCATGTCTCCTCCTCCAAGTCCTGTAAACCACCAGGGCAGAGTTGGCAGGAGGAGAAGATGATGGTCAGTGAGCATGTGGGCAGGGAGCTAGTGTCCTGTGGGATGGCCATAGTGATGGGCACTTGGGGTTATGCTCAGGGACAAAAATGAAGTTATACACCTACAAGAGGTTATCTTCTCCTCTCTAGTTACAGAAAAAGACCAAGGCTTGCAGACACTACAGGTAAACTAAGGAATGCCCGTCAACTGACCAGTTGCAGAATTGCAACTTCAAAACAGATCCAATCGCAAATCTGCAGTCTGTGCAGCCATGATCACAGAAAAGCTGGTCCATGACCTTGACCCAAAATCACATACACCAACTGAGACAAAGGAAATGATATTCCATTTTCTCAGCTTCCCTAAGTGGTTGCTCTGTGACCATTTCATTCACCCCTAGTCTCCTCATGGCATCTTCAAATTCTTCTTTCCCAAATTCTGCCCTCTCATTCTCATTGAATGTCTTTGCTTTCTATTTTACTTACTTGATGCCATCAAACACCATCTCAACTACTTGTTCATTCCCTCATACACTTACTGGTGGCCTATATTTCATGCTTCCTGGTCTTAAGGGAAAAGATTCAAAAGGTTCCCATGCCTCAACTTGTCCTCCTCATCCCCTGGCTTGACCTCCCTAGCCTCGGCCTGTCTACGCTGCCCACCCCCCCCCCACACACGCCCCTATGCTTCTCTGTTCAGCTCCTTGGATCACCCCAGGAACTCCATCGAATGCATATTTCTTCCTCTCCATCAATTGTCGCCGCCCAGCAGCGACACTAAAAAGATGAGGCACACTCTTGAGGGTCTGGGAAAAGCTGGAACCACAACTGGACCCCTCACTGCCAAAAGTGGCCGCGTTTAAACCCTTTTCTCTGCTGCCCCTTTCCCCATTGGCCTTAGCTTTCCTCTGCCGCTTCTCCAGCCCTCTCTCCACCACCCTTCTTCGTTCTTGTCCCCGTTTTCTGCTGCATTTCTCTGTTCTTGTCCCTGAACTTAGGTCTTACTACTTCTCTACCGCTTTTCCAGCCCTCTCTCTGCCACCCTTCTTCCCGCCTGTCCTTCTTCTCCTTGTCCCGTCATAGTATCTCCGTCTTTCTCATCATCATCGGCCATCTGTCCGTCCGTTGTCCCTTGCCTAGCTTTTACCGGCTACTTTTATATCATTCTCCACCAATCACTTCTCCCCGTGGGTCCACTTGGTGCTACATGATAGGCCAGTAATCACAGCGAGAGCATCAGCCTATCCCTGTGACTTCCTGTTTACCTGCTGGTGAGACCAACTCTGCCTCCTGGCCCTGGGCCAGCCACCATCTTGCGACAGCCCCTCTCAATCCCGGAGTGGCTTCAGCACCCCGCTCCCCACAATCAATAATGCAGTCATCCACCTACCAACTTCTTTGCTCAGGGGTGGATTTGCCACAGAGTTCATGAAACTTAAGCTTCAGAGAGGGCACCAGAGTTGCCGCAGGTTGAAGAACGCAGATTGAAGAATGCTCTAGATGGGGAGAGGACACTGAGTGGCAATCAGGATAGATTCTAGGTAAGAATTTGCTGAACTGTCAAAAGAAACCTGGGTCTCCAAGAACGAAGTCATGGATTGTGATGTTGCCTTTTAGTCATTATAGTCACTTGGATCCCACCTTGGTACCATAAGTCCTTGTACCTTTTCCTAAAGAAAGTGCTTGGGATTTCACAAGCTCCAGACACCACAAATCCTGCATTGCTCCAGTCCTTTCCCATCAGTCTCTGATCCTGCAGAGACTCTCCCTGGAATTCACAATCCCTACTGCTCTATTCCCACCTTTCCTTCTCTATTCTTTATTCTCCTCATCCCTATTCATACCAGCCTGTTCATTCCTCACCATGATTAAGGGGTGAAATGGTAGCCCTTCCACCACTCCCCAAGAGACATGTCCACTTAGAACCTGTGGCTTCAGCTGTATTGAGGAAAAGTGTCTTTACCAATGCATATAAGTTAAGGATCTTGAGAAGCAATAATTCTGAATTTAAGCTGGACCTACATCCAGTGACAGGTGTCCTTACAGAAACAGGCAAAGGATAACAAGCACTTAGTCTAGGAGCTAAGACACCCAGGTAACACATCAGGATACGTGGGTACAATTTTCAGCTCCAACTCCTCACTCCCACTTCATGCCTATATGCCTTCATGAGTACAGGGGTCCACGCACTTGAGTAAGAGAGATTGGGTAGGCCCCAGAGGGAGACAGGTCAGTCTAGAACTGGGGTGAAAATGCTACAGTGAAATGCAGAAAGTAAAATGTGTGAGATATGATAGAGATGTCCTGATATTAGGAACACATAAACAAATACAGTGTGTGACTACCATATGATTTCAGAGAGTAACATTGGTCATCGTGGTACCACAGACAGGAAAAAGAATGACAATTAAACAAGTTACTGCACCCTGACAAGGATGGCTTCCTTTTATTTATTTATGGGTCATGTTGAATTGGAGGAGTCTATGAAAACTCCTGGGGAATATCAAGTCTGAGCTAGAAAAATGAGGATTGGAAGCTGGGAGAGAAATACAAAGAGGATGTCAAGAGATTTGAAAAGCCTCTTAACTTGCAAGTAACGAAGGTTGCTATTTTTCATCAGAGGGCAAGGAGAAATGGAAGAGAGCAAGACACATTATTTTTGTCCTCAGGGTGCTTGCCTTATGGGCTAGGAAAATACCATAAATCCAGTCTTCACACCAACAAGTATCTAATGACAAAATACCACAGGAGTGATGAGAAGGCATTAGAACACAACCAGGAGGACCTGACTTCAGTGCTTGCTCCAGCTCCTAACTCCAGCTTCCTGCTAATGCAGACCCAGGGAGGCACTGGTGACAGCTCCAGCAGTTGGAGACCTGGGTTCTTCCAGCTTTAGTCCTGGCCCAGCTTTAGCTGTTGCAGACATTTGGGGATGGAAACAGCACATGGGAGTGCTCGCTCACTCTCTCTCTCTCCATCATTCTCTTGCTCTCTCCATATCTCTGCCTCTAAATTTTAAAAGGGAAAGGAGAAATATAGACTCTCTGAAGCAAATAAAAATTGAGGGAATACATTGCTAGTATAACTGCCCAGTAAGACAAACTGAAAGAATTTCTTCAGAGAGATGGAAAAGTATATAGTTCAGCGACTTACACAAAGAAAGGAAGAGTGTCAGAGAAGGAATAAAGTAAAATAAAACTCTCATTGTTCTTATTTTTAATTGATATATCAGAAAACAGCTCATTCAAAATAATAATGCACCTATACAGAGTTCTAATGTCCTGGCCTCAACCTGGAGCAGCACTGGTTGTGAAGACTCTTTGGGAAGTCAACTAGTGAATAGATCTCTTTCTCTCCCTGCCTTTCCTTCTGTCTCTGCGCCAGTACCACAAGCACAGACTTAGCCACCGTCCTGGCCTCAGATGTTCATTGTTTTTTAAACCGTTTCTTTTAGAGATCAAAAGAATGGAGATGGAATTCTATCATTTTCCTGCCATCTTCACACCCTATCTCAGCCACCTGTCACAGAATGCCAAATCCTTACACTTGCTACTGGGGTTTACATGCCAGCCACCACTCAACACAGCCTTGCCACATGCTCTCTGAAAGTGCAGCTTGAAACATTCATGCTAGCTTCTTGGGAAACAAGTCATTGCTTCCAAAGACCCAAGATCATTCATTTATTTAAACAAGATAACTCGGAGATTCCAACCCTATGACTGCCTCCAAGGCAATGGTTCTCAAAGTGCTGCCTGGTTCAACAGCCTCAACATCTCCTGAAGACCAGTTAGAAATGCAAATTCTCAGACCAATGGACGGAGGGAGAAACTCTTGATGGGCCCAGCCCTTTGTATTACATCACAAGCCCTCCAGGGAACCCTGAGCACATTCAAGCTGGAGAAAAAAATGACCAATCTTGAAGAATCACAAAAGTCATGTGCAAGTATTAGGATCTTTTGATTCTACGTGGGCAAAATTTACAGTAGAGAAAAATGCCATATACAGGCATGGAACAGTCTCTCCAAAATATTTCTGGCCTTCAAAGGTGCCGACAGTTCCATCCACATAAGCAAAAGCACAGATAGAAAAGCATTCTTCTTCCTGAGAGTGGGAGGCAGGCATGCTTTACCTGACAGATGCCGCTGATACACATGTCCAGGGAATCAGTGTGACAACGGGTTCCATCCAGCACCTTGGGCGCCAGCTCCACCACCAGGTTCTGTCCTCGTGCATGGCACTTGAGGGCACAAGGCGCAGTGGGATCGTTGTATTTGGGGAGCCATTCATAATAGCGTCCCTGATATTGCACATCATTGTAAGCCGAGCACTGTTGGGCTCTGAAGTCTTCCACTTCCGGAGGGCAGTCCTGCAGGCAGAGAAGACGGGGTCACACATCCATGAGCTAGTGAGAGGGGCCAAAAGGGGCTGCACGGCATTCGCACGGCCAACCCACCCCAGCTACTCTCCCAGAAGTCACCCTATTTCTCCATTTTTAAAAGGGAATTCAAAGCCAAATCCACAGCTGTGAGTTTGGAATCTGCAACAGTGACGCAGATGGTTCACTGTCCCGTGTATTCTGATCACACTTCCACTCAGGCATTACCTCTCACCTCCAGTAATTACAATTGATAATATTAAAAAAGTGCCTATTTTTAAAATTTATTTACATTTTTACTGTCTTTTTACTGTCTTAGAAATAAGTTTTATTTTCTTTTTCTTAAATTTTTATTTTAATTTTTATTGGAAAGTCAGATATACAGAGACGAGGGGAGACAGAGAGAAAGATCTTCCATCCACTGATTCACTTCCCAAGTGGCCGCAATGGCCAGGAGCCAGGACTTTCATCCAGGTCTCCCACACAAGCAGGGTCCCAAGGCTTTGGGCTGTCCTTGACTGCTTTCCCAAGCCACAAGCAGGGAGCTGGATGGGAAGTGGAGTGGTCAGGACATGAACTGGCACCTATATGGCTTGTGGCCTCTCTGTATATCTGACTTTTCAATAAAAATAAACAAATCTTTAAAAAAATGTAAAGAGTAAATGGGACCAAAGTGCTGGCATATCATGCTGATCTTCTGCTTGTGGTGCCAGCATCCCATATGGGTACCAATTCAAGTCCCAGTTGCTCCATCTCCCACCCACCTAGGAAAGCAGCAGCAAACAGCCTTGCACCCAAATGGGAGATTTGAAGGAGGCTCTTGGCTTTTAGCTCCCAGCTTTACACCAACCAAATTCTGAGCACTGCAGTTCTTTGGGGAGTGAGCTGGCAGAGGAAAGATCTCTCTATCTCTTCCTCTCTCTCTCTCTGTATCTCTTTCAAACCAAATAATTAATCTTTACAAAAATGAGTAGCTAATGAAGACTCTCACATCTTTATACCAATTTTGACTATTTACCAAGGACTCGTTTCTGGGGAGAAAATGTCCGAATGTAGGTTTAATATTTTTCCAGGTCTGTTTGCGTTGTGTATCAATGCTTCAAAGACTTCTTGCTTTCTACCCTTTATTCATATCAGTTTCAATGTCTGTCCCTTATTACTTTTAGTACATGAAACCATTACACTGCTTGATGAAGTTATCAGCTCTTTAGTTTTTGGTTGGAAATATTTTCTCCCACTTAATTTTGCTTTTGGAACTTTGGGAAGCCAAGAAGTTTTAAATTTTTATGCAGTCAGCTCTATTAATATTTCCCTTTAAGGTTTGGCTTTAAAATGCTTCTCTAATTCTGCCCTGAGAACAGATAAACATTTGAGTTATTTTGCTGGTTCCTTTTAAGATGAATAACCATGTTTAATTCTTGATTATAACTGGACTATATTTAGACAAATGATGTGAAGCAAAAATCTATGTTTATTAGATTTTTTTTTTCTAACACAGAGAGTTACTCATAAAATTTCACCCAGGACTTCTAAAACATAATTTCTTTCATTTCTCTCCTATTTACTACTTGACTTCTACATTTTCCTGGGTTGTGTTTTTAGATTTACAAACTGCCTCAAATCCTTTTTTGGAAATAGGCAAGCCATAAGCATAATATAATTAAGAAGCTTTCCTCTGGGATTTCTTGTGTTATTGGGTTGTAAAACATTCCCCAATCCTATATTACATTCACATTTTTGTTGTCTTACAAGATCACATCTTAATTCAGGCCACACCTATGGAAGCAAGTCAAAATGAAAAGGAGCTGAAATTGGACAAACATTTTTCTGTTGAAATTAGGATGTGGTCCACGGTCTGGCCACTGGAAAGATCATCAATGAGAAATTGGTAACAGCTCCTCTGTCTCTACTTTTCTGTATGTCCGACTCTCTGAAGTCAAAGAGAAATACATAGGAGCGCAAGTAAGCAATAACTTTTGCATAAGGGTCATGGACATGACAGCCGACTCTTAATAAAGAGTTACAGGAGCCAGCATTGTGGTACCTAGCGGGCTGTACTGCTGCCTGCAAAAGCCAGCAACCTATGAGAGTTATGTGAGCACTGGTTCAAGTTCCAGCGGCTCTCATTCCCAACCAGCTGTCTGTTGACGCACCTGGAATGGTAGCAGACTTGACCCAAGAATTTGGGCCCCTGAAAGCCATGTGGAAGATCTCAATGGAATTCCAGACTCCTAACTCCAGCCTGCCCCAGCCTCAGCCAGTGCTGCCATTTGAGGAGTGAAGCAGCCAATGGGAAGATCTCTCTAACTCTCTCCCTACTCCCTCTTTAATTCTTTCTTTGAAATAAGCAAATCTCTTTTTAAAAAATTAACAAGAGTTAACTAACGGAAGGCAGCTCAGGATGTCGCCTGAACTCAGTCCTTACTGCAAGAGTAGCTATGTATCTACCTGTGACAAGCCTCTTTGGCCACAACTGACCACCTAGAGTCACACATCTGGTCCAATCTTCCTTGGGAATTTGCAATTGCAAAAGAAGGACTGTGGCTGAGATGTCACATCAGTGTGGGGCCGAGTTGACTGCTTCCTTCATGAAATGTGTGTTGAAGCAGAGGCAGCCAGTTCCCTCAGCAAAGCCACACACACCAGACGAAAAGCAGCAGGAATGACGGTAGCCCATATACCTCAGTCGGAGTCAGGATGCTGCATTCCTCACCATCTGGCTCCTTCCTCCAGGCCCTCAAGGCTTGTTCACGCTTACCTTCCACTACGTGCACACACATCCACACAGTGAATCCATGCTTCTTAATTAAGCTCCTTGAGCAGGCTTCTGTCCCCAGCCTGTGATGGCCCCTAACACAGCCTCCTATCTGGGTAACATGGTCTAGTGCACCAGCGTGATTACTGAGGTTCTCTTTCCCCATCATCCCTTGGATGAGGTAGGACAGGCTTACCATCATCCCTCACTTTATACATGGGAAACCCTGTGATCTAGGAAATGTTTAATCATTGGCCAAAAACACAACAGGGCTGTAACAGAATCAGGTCTGACTCCCAAATTAACAAGTTCTCCATTCCACAATATTTCTTTCTGATGGCCATGGGGATACTGATTACTTACACTCAAGATCGCTCTTTACTTCATATTCTTCCAATGCCAACACTAAACCTGCTCAGGCTGACTTACTTGAAAGCTGTGTCCTGTCTTGAGATAATGGAAGGATTCTTGCACCCTCCACAATCTGGTTAACACTTAACAAACTCAAGCATGAAACACTCTCCTGATTTTCTCTTCCTAGGGAACATTTCTTCATATCAAGTCAGCTGAAGGAAACTAATTTAGTAAGTGCGCCCTCTGATCTTTTCCCTAGCTTCTCATACTCTGTGCCATTGACTGAGTCTGCTATTTTTTTTAAGATTTATTTATTTTTATTACAAAGTCAGATATATAGAGAGGAGGAGAGATAGAGAGGAAGATCTTCCATCCGATGATTCACTCCCCAAGTGAGCACAACAGCCGGTGCTATGCCGATCTGAAACCAGGAGCCAGGAACTTCCTCCAGGTCTCCCACACGGGTGCAGGGTCCCAAGGCTTTGGGCCATCCTCTACTGCTCTCCCAGGCCACAAGCAGGGAGCTGGATGGGAAGTGGAGCTGCTGGGATTAGAACCGGCGCCCATGTGGGATCCCAGCATTCAAGGCGAATACTTTAGCTGCTAGGTCACACCACTGGCCCCCGAGTCTGCTATTTTATATGTGATGTGGCATCTATAGGCACCAAACACACTGATATGGTATGTTAAAATTGGCATTTGAAGACTTGAAATAGAACTGCAATGACGCTAACAAAAACATCATCCAAGTGTCAAAGAATAAAACCGGTTTAGAAAGGATTAGAAAGGAAAAAATAAATCCTAGCTCAGCAAAATCAGATTCTGACTTGAAAGAGATAATGAACAGATCTAAAGAAGTGTATCTCAGGAGGTGATATGCAGCCTGTCCGGGGGTGGAGGGGGAAGCCAAGGAGAAGGAGGAGAAGGAGGAAAAGGTGGATGATCTTTCCGGATGCTCTACTCCTGACCTCCTTTTCATTTTCCTATTTCTAAAACTATGGATGTGTAAATCCATAAGGAAAAGTGAAGCCAGGGCAGGGGATTATCTAACACAACGAGAACAGGAAGAACAGGTCTTTATCTAAGAAACTATTTACATGATAGGATTAAATTAGACATTTAGTTAGCTTCCCCCCCACAGAATAATCAGTCAGAGAAAACACTCCTCTGATAAAAGCAAATTTAGACATTTATTCTTTTCTATGCAAGTTACAGTATGAGCTAAATTTTGTGATCCTTTTGTAAAAATGGATGACAAAGTTTCCAGCATAAAAATAAATTCTTGCAGGTGGTCACCTTAAGCTTGAGTTAGCAAATAAGGCCTGTGGAAAATTAAACTCTCCAATGGAATTGAACAGATGTGGGATATACCTTTTTGGGCAAGATATGGAAAGAAACATGGCCTAAAGAGAAAAAGCAGAAATCCATTGAGTAGCTGTGCAGGACAGCACACAGGTCCTTCCCCATCCAAAGAGAACTGAATGCCAGACCGCATCAGCCAGCTTCTAGAGGTCCGAAGGGGAGTGACCAGAAAAAGGTGACATTAGGAGGAGGGGGTAGCCTGCAATTGTCAGCATAAGGGTGAAAGTTGGCAGCTGTCTCCCAGAGTTGGAGCAATGATGGTGGAAAGAACCCTCTATGATTGACTGTCAGAGAGTGGTCATCTGTGAGCATCAGGGCACGAAGGAACCTTCAGGGGTCACATCAAATGTGTACTCTCCAGGACAGCCACCTGGGATCCCAGAGAACCTTCTGTGCAGAGCTAATAGGACTTCCCTGTATGCTCACACAAAAGTAGGCTCATGGGAAATGGTGTTGGAGTGCAGCCCCCTATGAGCCTCTGTTTAAGTTCCTCTTGCTCCGTTTCAAATCCAGCTCCCTGCTGATGCCCCTAAGAAAGCAGTAGTATATGGATTGAGTACTTGAGCCCTTGACAACCAAAGGCCAAACTCAGATGAAGCTCCTGGCTCCTCACTTCAGCCTGGCCCAGCCCCAGATAGTATAGCCAGTTAGGGAGTTAAGCAGCAAATGAAGACCTCTCTCCAACTCCCTCTCCCTTGTATGTCACTCTGTCTTTCAAGTAGATAAAATAAGAATTTTTTAAATGTTCATGCTACAAGATCACTCTCCCCGGGTAAGGTAGTCCTCATTTGGAGCATCTGAGGAACAGAATCATTTCTAATCTTGCATTTATTTATTTATTTATTTTAGTGCAAAACGTTTCCATGGACATTATCAACTGAGCACCTGAAAAGTGAACATTAGAAATGTCTGTCATGCTCAGAAAGTTTTGGATTCTGGAGCATATCTGGATTGGGGAGTTTTGGATTATATTTGCCCAATCTGTAAACCCACATTGGACTACTCCCCCTCTACTTCTTGGAGCCTTTCCTTTAATCCTGCAGAGGTGGAGGATCTGTTTCTGCCAAGGGCCATGACCATCCATGGGCCATACCACATTTTCAGCCCCTTGGCTGCATCCCAGCAAGGCAGACAGCATCAGGACAAGGTTCCCTAGACAGTGGGACAGAGAGGCAGAGTGACTCAGGGACCAGATTTGGTCAGAACAGCTTGCTCATATAAGAACCCATTCACTCCATGAGATCAACATTGGTCCCACCCAAGGGCTTGAGTCCCTGTGACATAATTTCACTAGGCCCCACTTATGCTTTAAAAAGAAAAGAAAAAGGTGAAGACAGGGTTAAGGAGAGATATCTCACCCAAGTGTCCACAAAGACTGATGCTGAGTGGCAGGAAACCACTTACTGGAGCCAGCATCATGGCCTCCCAGGTCTGCACCAGCAGGAGGCTGGAGTCCACAGCAGAGCCAGAACAAACCCAAGCCTCTGATGTGAAAGGCGAGTGTACTGCAAGGTTAAATCTGCATGCCCCCTCCACACCACTGCCCACTGGGCATCAAGCTTGCAACACAAGAATCTTTGAGTGACATCCTTTCATGCTGGGAAACCATAGCAGACGGTGCCTTCGAATTATCACTCTGCTCCAGCTAATGCCCCAATCGTTCTTGTGTCAGAGGGGCTCAGGAGTATGATGCCACACACAGCATAGAGACAAAAGGTCATCTACTAAAACGAATGCATGTTAGATGCAACAGGTTAGGGCTTTGGTGGCCTTGAGTCAAAAAATGATGCCTTCTCCCACCACCAGGCCCATAAGTTTGAGGTTCCCTACAGTCTCTTCCTTGCGTGGGGAATGTCCAAGACACAAAATCATTTCGTCTGGCCTTGCCAAGGCAACCATTAGGTACGTCTAGTTCTCTGGGATAAATGCTTAGGAGTTGTATGGTAGTTGTATGTGTATTATTTGTGTATTATTTTAAGAAACTGCCTGCTTTTTTTTTCTCTCCCCAGAGTTGTTGTACCATTGTATATTCCCACCACAGTTTCTCTACATTTTATCATGCACATTTCCGTGCTACAACACTTGTCCTCCCATTAATTTTAGAGCAGATCTCAAAGCAGGGTAAGTTGCAAGGGCAAAAGATGGGTTACATAATTATAAAGGGGCCCAAGAGGACCTGAAGGAACACGTTAGTTTAACCAAAGAGCAGCCACATCTGTGAGGCAGAAACTGTCAGAACTGGTGAAGGTCAATGCCAGGTTGGGCTTGCTCCTCGCGGTCTACCTTTGCACCCAGGCCACTGTGTCTGCCTCCAACGCCACACTCTATTCCAGCTCATTTAATTCAACACAAACACATGAGGCTTCCATTCTGGTCCGGGAGATAGGAAACCATTCACTCTGTTTCAGATTTACACTTAAGACACAACTGACAAAAATTTGGCTAGGCCAACCGTTTCCCATTCATCTAGGACAGAGAATGAAGAAGGATAATGTCCACTAAAATGAAACTTTTAAAATAAGTGAGTGTGTGGACATTTGGCCAGGCTTGTAATGCCCCAAGTTAGAACATCCACAGCCCATAAGAGAATGCGTTGGATGCCCTGCTGGCTCGACTCCTAATTGTAGCTTCCTTATAACAAGACAGGACCCTGGAAACATCAGGTGACGGCTCAAGTGCTGGGGTCCCCTGTCACCCACATGGGAGCCCACTCCCAGCTTTAGCCCAGTCCAGCACCAGCCACGGCAGCCATTGGCACAGGGTCTAGTACGCAGGAGTGCTCTCTCTCTCTCTCTCAGCCCCTCTCTGCCTTGCAAATAAAAATGAAGGAAAAAAAATAATATATCTACTACATTAAAATGAAATCTCCAGATTCTCAGATTTTACTGTGAATTCCTGTTGCTGATTCTGGTATGCATCGCTAATGAGGAAACTGTCTTAGAAGGAAAGCACAAGGTTGGCATGTTCCTGTTTGTAAAATAAAATACTAGCTGACTTTTGTTTTTCGTGTTTGATTGAGGTATAATAAGAATGAAGGTGTATAAACTCCCCCAATTTTAGTTAATTTTCTAATGAAAACACCTGGAGTGCCACTAATAGATTTTGCAGTGGGAGCCCTGGGTAGTTTGGGGAAATAGCAGGGAAAGCTAATCCTAGTTCAATTCCATGTTCTTCTTAGGTGACCTTTGAAAAATCATTTTCCTTCAGTCCCTTCATTTGCAAATAAGAAAAAACAACATCTCGTCTGCCCACATCTTGGAGGTCGTGTGTATTATGTACTGTTTTCATGAACGCTGCAATTATTACAGACCACATTACATCATAAATATGAGATGGCCTAAAAATAGTGAAATGAAAGGTATTAGATATACAAAGATTTTTGTCAGCTAAAGAAATATTCAAGGCTCCCCAAAGTTTACTGAGAGAACATTCACTTGACAAACTCCACTGTAATATTATAACTTAAAGCATTGCATTTAGTTTTAAGGTTTTTTTTTAAATGGTTTTATGTTGACGTCTGAATGTTTTTTAAAACTTTGCATGCTTAATGTTTTTCCTTATAGGACTTACATGGTTGCTGCAAGTCTTGTATCGAATATTCTGCCCTTCACAATTCCTAAAGGAAAAGAAAACAATATTGATTTTGTAGAGGTAGCAAGCAAAAACAAAAAAAAAACAAAACCTTGTTTTAAAGCATACCCAAAGCCCTGGTTTCCTGCAAAAATCTTCCCAGCACACTTTTCAAAGGCTCAAAGTTTAAATTCTAAGAAACTGACTTTCACTGACCATGATCAATGTGCCCAAGGAGTCTCATGGAAGGATCGTAGTCAAGAAAGAGACATATTTCCCCCAAACTCTTCGGAGACGCCTTGTTTGCATTTCAACATGTTCTGCTCTGTTATTTTGCCTCTGAACTCCTTGGATTTCCTTCATAGCTTGCTTTTCTGTGATTCTTAAAGGGAAGATAGGAATAAAGCATTTGTCTATCACAGGCCCCTAGAGAGTGTCTGTGCCCGTTCGCTGCAGCTGTCTCCTGTTTAGTATGACTGTCTCTGTGAGTCAATTACTTGAGGAACCAGCACATTAAGCCACTGCCTGTGTCTGACAGGAGAGTGCCACTTGGAGTCCCACTTGCTCTGCCTCAAATACAGCTCCCTGGGAAAGCAGCAGATGACAGCCCACATGCTTAAAGCCCTGCCATCCATGGGGCAGACCCAGATCGAGTTCCAGGCTCCAAGATTTCAGCCTGGCCCAGACCTGGCTTTTATAGCCTTTGGGGGAAACGAACAGCAGACAGAGGACATCTCTATCTCTTTCTGGCCCTCTGTCTTTCAATAAATAAACACATCTTTAAAAATTGTGTTTAGACAATGCTTCTTTCTTATTCCAGCCATCAGCCTTATTGAATGGATGTTACAAAATAGTGTTAAGACAGTTTCCTTGGGATGCCCATGCTGGTGGGTGTAAAAGATGCTCTAAGGTTGACTACCACATGACCTGCCTCCTGGTCCAGCCGTCAGCTCTGGGACCTGCCACTCACTCACTTTCCAGGCAGACTTCATGAGTGCTGAAACTCTATCAAGGAGGTGCTTTGTTTAGTCCAAAACTTGTTGTTCTGTATTTTTGCATACTCCCTAAGAATAATTGCATCTTTCCCATTTTTTCAACAAGTCGCATGTTTTTCTTCTGGTCATTCAAATGGAAAATAGAAAACAAGGTCAGCCTTCAGGGATGAAAAGTTGATAAATAGTATATTATTTTTCAAATGGATCTGGGGATGCAATTTTTGACTGCTGTGATTTTTTAAAAAATATATTTATATTTATTTGAAATGCAAATTTATTGAGAGAAGGAGAAATGCAGAGAGAGATCTTCCATCCACTGGTTCACTCCCCAAATTGCTATAACAGCTAAGGCTGGGACAGACCAAAGCTGGGAGCCGGGGGCTTCTTCTGGGTCTCCTATATGAGTACAAGGACCCACAAACATGAGCCATCCTCCACTACCTTCCCAGGCCATAATCAGGGAGCTGGATTGGAAGCGGAGCAGCCAGGACACATAACGGCACCCATAAGGGATGCCAGTGCCACAGGTCAGGCATAGCCTGCTATACCACTGTGCGGCCCCATTGGTGTGATTTAAATATGAGCCTACCCAAAGTGACTGATAGAGCCAGTGATATATACCTCACTGCATGTGGTTTCCAAAGAGCCTATGCTTACTGTGTAAGTTAAAACCAGAAACCTGCTAAGTTGGAAAATTAGTCATTAAAACACCCATCACCAAGACTTTTAATATTCCAGCATTTAATCTTTTTGCCATGATTTCTTTACAGAGTTAAAAATCATACTGCCAACACTTCTTCCTATTTTCTTTAATCTAAAATAAACATTTAATTGGCAATTTGTTGAGAAAATTGTTTTAATGATTACATCGTAGACTATTAAACAGACTTCTTTCATAATTTTCAGTTTAAACCTTTTGAAATTCTGGTTAAAATAAGCATAACACCCAACCAATCATTTTGCATCTTTAAGCAATTTTGTGTTTAAATTCAGTATAGTCACATGTTTATGCAGGGGTTGCCTTTTCTAAACAGTTATATCACATTTCTTTTTTCCCTAGAATTTTGAAATTGATTTACACTAAAATCCACCTTGGAGGGTATACAGATTTATGAGTACTGACAATCCATATGGCTTGTTTGGACTATTAGCACAACCAATACTAAGAACATGCCATCGCCTCTTAAAAATTACATCCTGAAACCTTCCCCCCTCACCACCCTCACCTCCTGGCACTACTGTGTTTTCTGTTTCTGTAATTTCACCTATGAAAATAGGACAATGAAGTAGATAGCCTTTTGAGACTAACTTTTTTTTTTATTGGAAAGTCAGATATACAGAGAGGAGAGACAGAGAGGAAGGTCTTCCATCCGATGATTCACTCCCCAAGTGAGCGCAACGGCCCATGCTATGCCGATCACAAGCCAGGAGCCTCTTCCGGGTCTCCCACGCGGGTGCAGGGTCCCAAAGCTTTGGGCTGTCCTCGACTGCTCTCCCGGGCCACAGGCAGGGAGCTGGAAGGGAAGCGGGGCTGCCAGGATAGAACTGGCGCCCATATGGGATCCCGGGCGTGCAAGGTGAGGACTTAACCACTTGCACCACCGCGCCCGGCCCGAGACTAACTCTTTATACATACTGTTTAAATTTCAATCTTGTTGCAGGGCTCGGTGATTTTTCTCCTTCTCAATTGCCGAGTAACATTCTATTGTTCACACTAATGTGTGTAAGCATTTGTCTATTAATTGGCCAGCTAGCTATTTGAGTTGCTCTTCGTTATAAACAACAATTTTTAGAAACATGTACAATTATAAAGAAAAACTTTGTAATTCTAGAAACAGTCACATACAGGTAAACACAAGTTTTCATTTATGTAACATCTAGAAAAGGGATTGCCCAGTCTATTCCTTTTTGAAGAATATTAACATGTTTTGCTAAACATTATGTTTCCATTTTGTTCATGCATGTACTACATATCTAGAAAGTGGTAACAAATTCTAGTCCTTTTGTAGAATGCGTTTGTGTGATTTTTTTAATCCTGATTGGCAAAGGTACATTTCATAGTTTGCTTTTTTAAAAACTAGGCGCTGGCTCGAGTACCCCTGAATCTTTGTTCAAAGACAATGCACTAAGATATGCTGTTCCTAGATGGTCTCTTCTCAACACTGTAGACTTATTTCATCGATGGATGGCATCTGGACTTGCAAAGGAGAAAGAAGCTTGATTTCTTAACATTTCCATTCCAAGTGATTGTCAGAATGTGTCTATTCCTGTAGTTCCTTTTCACTAATTTGATAAAAATGGTGGGACCTGTTGAATGGAACTGAAGACTTTTCAGTGCTGCTGAATATTCTAGGCTCATGAATTTGATTATGACTCTTGTTCTAGAGTAATAATCATGGCTTTCTCGTTTATATGGTTTCCTATAACCAGCCAGTTCATTGAGTCTAGTTGAGCTGGAAATCCTGTAGCCCTGCATCTAACTGCGGATTTGACACATCAACCTTCTCAGGGTGCATCTGTCTCATCAGGCCCAGGAGCATGCTAAGCCCCCACCCTTTATGTTTGTGAGATTAGGGTACTACCTTTCACCCCATTAAAGATGTTGAAAACCTGGAAGAGATCTCTCTTGTCCAAAGACCATGCTTCAAAGTGATGCTTTCATTTTCTCTCTCCTCCACGGACAATTCCCCACATAGGGAGCCCACACACATACATGAGTGCATGTTGATTCCCTCACTGTTAAATAAATCCTGTTCTCATTGGTGTAATATACCAATTTCAAGCATTCTACCTCTGCTTGAAACCCATCTCTTTGGAGGCAAGGACCTGGGACAAAAGTTGAGTTATTCAGCCCCATATTACATGTGTCTCCTTTATTTGACCTTTTCTCATCTTCCCAAGAAATCCCCTAGAGCTCTTCCTTTACAGGGCAGATTTTATTTTACTGGAGTGAATCTTTTTTCATTGTATCTTATTGTGTCTGATACATTTCTTAATTTTTTTCTATTTATTTCAGAGGCAGGCAGACATAGCTTCCATCTGCTGATTAACACCTCAAATGCCCTCCATCATGGGGCCAGGCTGGCACCAGGAGTCAGAAACTCAACACAGGTCTCTCACGTGGCTGGCAGGGACCCAATGATCTGATCTCTCGCCAGTGCTTCCCAGGCTATACATGAAAAGCCAAGACTCAAACTCAGGCACTCCAAAACAAGATGCAAATGTCCACACTTGCAGTGTTTTAACCACCAGGCCAAATGCCTGCCTCCTGCATACTTTTTAATGCTAGTACCTGGCTTGCTTTCTTTACACTCCTTCTCAAATTCATCCCTTTCTACTTCTACTCACATTATTTTCCTCACTTTTCTGTTCCAATTACTACCTAAATTCCCATTTTCCTTTTGTCTTCTGATTTCTGGAAGGGAAAACCCATAATTGGATTAAGAAGACTTTGGGGAAAAGGAGTTAGAGAGTAAAAGAAAACACCATCAGAGTTACCACAAATGAAATGAAATTAACACATGAGAGAGTTACTGGTAACCCCATGATTAGAGCTGCACACACAATTCACATTAGCAAAGACATGAAGTCAGTCCAGATGTTCACTGACAGAAACTATGGTATACACACACTATGGAGTACTATTCAGTCACTAAAAAGGAACCACATTATTTTGCAACCAAACAGAAGCACTTATAAACCATCCTGCTTGGTGAAACAAGTCAATCCCCAAAAGACAACTATCATGTTTTTTTTCTGATATGTGGTAATTAATATAGACTCCAAAAAACGTGTAGGAATGCCAACGACATTTTGTGATGTCACTTGTTTTCAGCATTTGCTTATACTCTTGTGGAATTGTTGTCTTTCTACTTTGTACTTCTTGAATGCCATGGTGAGTGGTGTACCAAGCCTGTGGCTTACAGAATGAATTAAAATTAAGATATTACAGAAATTAATGGAAAGAAGGAATGAGACTGAAGGAGGGAGTGAAGCGAGAGAAGAGTATGTTATCTTCTTAGAGAACTGAACCTATGAAATACATTAAATC